ACCAAAAAAATAAAAAAGTAAAAATAAAAATAATACACCATGCATTAAACCTGTAATGTGTAGCTAAAACCATCAACACCACATCATGAAAACATCTTTCTTTAGCATCAAACTAGTCCAGAGACAAGACGTGAACAAGGGGCTACTAAAGAATCAGCATTTTAGCTGGGGGAAGATCAAGCACTTCCATGAATTTAATCCAACTGCAAATTAAACTTGTTCTACTTTCTGAACGAAAAATTAGTTCCCCTAATATTTCTGTTACAAAAAGAAAAAGGTGGTCTTGGAAACTGACCACACACTAAAGAATTCCTTAGCTATAGGACTCAACACAGGCAGGCACACTCCTTTTGCATTAAATTCTGAAATAAGGAACGGTGGGTAGTTGATCCTTTGCCTACTATAAGCTAATTAAATATTCCTACAGGCACTTACACAAAAAAATCACTAAAGGAACCTGAAGCCTACTTAAAGTTCTTTTACAACAGAAAAAAAGGTTGAAGTGAGGAGTGTTCCCTCATGGCTATGCTTTCAAGGTACACAGGAATCTGATCCAGCACCACTAATAATAATATCACCTTAGGTATCCTCCTGAGCCAATCAGATTTTTACCTAACTTCCTCAGTTCCCTCCTAAGCTAATCAGAATTCTCTCATGGCTCTCTCAATCACCTATAATACACACAAATGTAACTGAATGGCAGGTGGCAGAGGAATGTGAAATTCAGGAATTCTATAAACACTTCTCTAAACAGAAGTTGACTTTAAGCTTACCATTAATAGAAGCAATGCACAGAGTGCAGTAAAGAATTATATATATGCTGTGCTCACAATGGTGGAAGACATGATTACAAACACACACACATACCCAAGATAAACACAATTCTTGGGTGTACATCATAGAATTTGATACCAAAGCAGCATAAGCATGAAAGAAGTAAGTACAACATTCTACATGCACAACTGGGAGACAGAATCAAGAATTCTATTATCAAACCTATCAACTATCAACAAGTTTTAATTAAAAGAAAAACAAATCAAGCCAGGTGTGGTAGTGTATGCCTTTAATTTCAGCACTCAGGAGGTGGAAGAATTCAAGGTGAGGTAATCCTCTATATTGAGAGTGTGTGTGTGTGTGCGTGTGTGTGTGTGTGTGTGTGTGCGTGTGCGTGTGCGTGTGCGTGTGTGTGTGTGTGTGTGTGTGTATGAAGTTTCAGGCCAGTCTGGGCTACATTAGACCCTGTCTCAAAGAAACAAACAAATCCTGAATGAATAAATGAATTTTGTTTTTTAATTAAGACAGCAGCTGGGCGTGGTGGCACATGCCTCTAATCCTAGCACTTGGGGAGGCAGAGGTAGAGGCAGATGGTTCTCTGTGAGTTCAAGGCCAGCCTGGCCTACTCAAAAAGACCAAAAAAAAAAAAAAGAAAGCATCAGATAACATATTTTGTTAAGCAAAAAAGAGCCAATCAGCCTAGAAATCTCATCTATTCAAGCATTCAAGCCTACAGGTTTTGCTGAGTTTTCCTAGTGTGACAACATGGTCACAAGTGTCCTAGTGACATGTCAAGTCTAAGAAGATTGCAGGAGGTGGACATGTTTTATCCCAAACTATAGCCACTGATGTAGGAGAAGCTCATCTAGGACTCCTGAGCTCTGATAGAGGGTTATGAGAACCTTGTTCCATGCTTCAGACTATTTCATAAACTTTGGAATGGCATCAGTACAAACCCCAAAACCTACTTTCACAGAGCAGAAAAATCCCATTTGTTTCTTTAGGCAGCTCCTACAAGATAAACAATTACAACAAACAAAAGCAATGGCAACAACAAAAGGACACAAACAACAGCTATCTGCTCACTAATGAGACCCAGTGGGCATGCGTGTAAGCACTATTAGGCAGAAGCAGGTTACCAAGATTACCTTGGAGCACTCAGCTGATGGAACCTGTTATGTATGTGCATATGTGTACAAACTGAGCTCTTGAGGACTTGAGAACATGAAAAGGCGACCTTTAGGGAGTTTCTGTGCCTCAGCATTGTTTTTCTGTTTTGTTTCGTTTTGGGTTTTTTTGTTTTTTTATCTTTTTGAGACAGGGTTTCCCTGTAGCCCCAGCTGTCTTGGAACTCACTATGTAGACTAGGCTGGTCTCAAACTTACAGAGATCAGCCTGCCTCTGTCTCCCAAGTGCTGAGATTAAAGGCGTGTGCCACCATGCCCGGCTGCCTCGGCACTGTTTTAAGGACACTGAGAGTGCTAAGTGGTGAACAATAAGGCCTCTGAACAGATGTAACCAGATAAAGATGACAGATGGCATTTCAAAGCCCCGAGTAGAAAACAATATTGGACTTTTTTTTTTTTTTTCCTGAAACAGAGTCTCATATAGTACTTCAGACTGCCTTTGGCCTCACATCACAGCAATCCTCTTGCCTCAGTCTCCGGAGTCCTGAGATTATAGCCGGGCACGATCAGACCTTAGACTATATATTTCTACAATTCTTTCCTGTCCTTTCAACCCTTCTATGGAAGCAGAGAACACACAGAGCATGACCATACTGTATTCCTATGTATGTCAAAATGACCTTCATACTCAATTCAAGGGAATCCTGACTTTAATGTCAAATCAAGTTATACCCACCTCTGGGTAGCTTGCAAGATCTATAACCCCACTGGGCATTTGTCTCCCTCTCCAAAGCTAAAGAGTAACATAGGAACTTGATGTAACATAGGGCAAGTTCACTACCCTCTGAGAGAGCAGAGTTGCAGAACCCTCAAGTACAGGGCTTTACCTTTAAACAGAAAGTACTAGCCCCGAGACAGTGACTGAGAAAGTACCTAACATTCTAAAAAACCTTCACTTGGGGGCTGGAGAGATGGCTCAGCGGTTAAGAGCACTGACTGCTCTTGCAGAGGACCTGGGTTCAAGTCCCAGCACCCACATGGCGGCTACAAACCATCCTTAACTCTAGTTCCAGGGGAATCTGAAGCCCTCTTCTGACCTCCATGGCACTGCACGACATGGGTGCACTCACATACATGCAGGCTATACACTCATACACATAAAATAATAAATAAAATATTAAAAAGAAACCTCTCCACTTGAGCCTTCAAAGTAGTGGCAGAACCTACTACATGAGAAGCAGGGTGCGGATATTCAAAATTGGGATAAATGGTCCCTGAGTAAAAGCTGGCTTATTACCGTGAATATTAAAACAACAAACATTGCCAGGCATGGTGGCGCATGCCTTTAATCCCAGATCTTTGTGAAATCCAGGCCAGCTGGGGCTACAGGGAGGGAGACCCAGTCTCAAAAAGACAGAAAAAAAAAAGCCACCTGCAAACATTTCATATGAATGGAAAACTAAGGATGGAAAACATAGTCTTGCTTAAATACTAGGAATTGTTCAAGAGAAACAACACTATGTGCCACACAACAGTTTATGTTAGAAGTATGGTCGTGGGAAGGAGTGCACAGAGAATCTGGAGATAACAGCTTATTGATGCTTGCTCTAAATCCCTACAGATTAAGGTCCACGAAGTGCAGCAGGAGGGGAGGGGAAACCCTAAAAAGTAAAGCTCTTACTAATCAAATTTTCTTTACCCATTTAGCCTTTTACAAACATTACGTCAACCATACTGAATGAAGCCCACATTCCATCTTCTGCCCCAAGAAGCTAAGAATGGAAGATCAAGAGGTCAAGGCTAGCCTGAGATATACATTGAATCCTGTCTCAAAATTAATAAAAATAAAAAATAAAAATAAAAGCCCAGATTTTTCAAACATGACTTAATATCCATAGTAGTTTCTGAGCAGTACTAGAAAACCAAACATTAACATGTCTACAGCAAAAGAGGATAGCTTAAAGCCAGGTATGGTGGCACAAGCCTATAATTCCAGCACTTGTGAAACTAAGGCAAAACTGTCACCAGTTCCAGGCCAGTCTGGGTTACATAGTGAGTCTGGGCCAGCATAGGCTGGTGTGAATCTCTTTTCAAATAAAGTCAAGTTTGATTGTACATACCAGCACTCAGAAGGCAGAGGCAAGTGGTTCCCTGAGAGTTTGAGACTAGCCTAGTCTATAAAGCAATTTCCAGGCCAGCCAAGGTTACATAGTAAGACCCTGTCTGGGAAAAAAACAAAACAAAACCCACCAACAAAATACATAGCTTCAGCAAGATAAAAACCATGGCTAGCTTCTTGTTACCTCAGGCAAAATAAATTTATCTGGGGATAAATTTATGAAACTTGAGGTGTGGATATTTTTTGATTTTTGTTTTTTATCATCTGTGGCTTCACAATTGTGGCTATGAAATTATGGACCAGTAGTAATTTTCTTCCTAATTGAAAAAACTGTTAATTCATCCCTTCCCCTTATTTGAAATTGTAAGGATTGAACCTAGGATCTCATCCATGTTAGGAAAATATTTAACATTGATTTAACATTCCTAGCCACTGATTGATTGATTGAGACAAGGTCTAAACTGCCTAGACTGGTTTCAAACTAATAATCCTCCTGCTTCAACTTCCCGAGTAGCGTAGATCACAGGTATGTCCCACCATCATGAGAACACTACACTGCCAGGTAACAGGAAAAAGAGCTGTGTGTATTTCTGCACTGTGTAATACTTTTTGAGTAACTGAAATGTACTACCATATAATGGAGCTTGTTTAAATGGAGTATTTTTAACGGAGCATTTAAAAAACAATGCTGTAACATAAGAAGATACTAATAAAGGAAAGAGCAGTTTAGGAAACAATACATTGTTTAATCCCATCTCTGGCCTATAACTAGGGGCAGATCTGTACATTCACAGAAAAGGACAAGCAAAACACACTAGCTACACATGACTGATAAAAATCATCAAGATCCTTTCCTATTTTTAAATTTATTTTTGTTTATCTGTATTTTCTGTTTTCAACAGTGACTAATACTTTCATACAGAAAAAAAAAAGTTCATTTATAAATCGATGAAATAGAAACACCACTGAAAAGTCCTTACCTCCGATGATAAAGATGTATTACGGGAAAATAAAAGAAGTGCTTCTGTTTTCTGCATTTCCCCTGGTTCCACCAACAATTAACTGCCACAAACAACACCTGCAGAGGCAAAAGTTTCATATGACTATGAATAACAACTGAATGGGTACAGAGATTTTAAATTATAAAAGGAACTAGTTCTCTCCTGCTGCAACAGAAAGTATTTAAAACAAAACAAAACAAAATCCTGTTTCAAGGTTTCAAAGGGCAACATTTACCACTAAAATTAAAAATCAAGCTTATGTGGAGGTTCACACCTGTAATCCCAACCCTGGGGCATTGCGGAGGGGCAGGGGAACTGAGGCAAGTGGAGTGCCATGAGGTCCAGGCTACTCTGGGCTACAGAGACTTTGTCTCAAAAAATACAATTAAGGGAGCCAGGCATGGTGGAAAATGTCTTTAATCCCAGCACTCTGGAGGCAGAGGCAGGTGAATCTCTGTAAGATCAAGGCCAACCTGGTCTACATAGAGAGTACCAGGCCAGCTGGGGCTACAGGGAGACCCTGTCTTAAAAAGATAAATAAATAAATAAATAGATAAATAAATAAATAAATAAATAAATGGCTGGAGAGATGGCTCAGTGATTAAGAGCACTGGCTGCTCTTGCAGAAGACCTGGGTTTGGTTCTCAGCACTCACATGGAAGCTAAAAACAGTCTGCAACTCCACTTCCAGGGCATCCCACACCTTCTTCTAACCTTTGCAGGCATTGCATGCATGTGGTACACTTATACATGCATACATATAATTTTTTAAATTATGCAAATAAATAAATAGATAAATTTTAAACAAAGACAGACTCCATAATTCAGCTAGGACCTGAATGAAGTCTTGTCCAAGAGGAAAACTATTGGTTTTGAATATTAAAATGAATGAGAGCAACACTTTCAAGAGAATGTCTTGGGTGGGAACTGGGGATGTTGCTCAGTGTTAGGGAACTTGCCTAATATGTACAAGGCCTTGGTTGAGTCCCTAGCAACACACACACAAAATCATAAGTATCAACTAATTTTTTTTTTTGGTCTTTTTGAGACAGGGTCTCCCTGTAGCCCCAGCTGACCTGGTACTTGCTATAAAGACCAGGTTGCCCCCAGATCCTGCTTCCACGTGGTGGTCCTTTTAATAAGATGATGCTATACAGCAGTCCCTTCTGCATGAAATAACTACCTTCATCACGGCTTCAGCTGAGCCTGATCGCTAAACAACATCAAAATTGGGCTTGTTGACAGTTATGCTCATTCATTAGAGGAGAGCCAAGCAGGGTCATTGGACCCTCACTGGATTATCCAGCCACTCTTCCCAGCCAACTGTATGTAATTTGACCCTAATCACACATGGCCTCCTGAATTTGGGGAGGGCTAAAGTATACAATCTGGGGAAGGCTAGGAAGAGAAGGCATGACCCATGCTGGGTAAAGGCTTTCCAGTGTGCATACCCTCAGGTCATACACATACCTCAGAAACCCCTCAGTTATCTCAGTAAGCTCAATAAATTCATTGGTTCCTCAGTAAAACTTTAATCAAACATTGGCTTGACACTAGAACCTTAAAAGGGAATAAGCATTGCTAAGCAACCCCAGGAAAAGAAGTCTCACAACAGATGGAAAATGTGTTAATGCTATTATGTCTCATAATTATTTAAAAAAAAGAAAACAAAAATGAGAATGTAAAAGGTGTTAAAAGGATTTGGGAATGGAAACATTTTCTAAAATAGAAAAAAATGAGAAAGCGTAAGCAAGTGATGAAGGTCTGTGTTGGTTTGTTATGATATATAAAGAATGAGTGGCCAGGCATGGTGGCGCATGCCTTTAATCCCAGCACTCGGGAGGCAGAGGCAGGTGGATCTCTGTGAGTGCAAGGCCAGCCTGGTCTACATAGTGAGTTCCAGGACAGCTGGCACTACAAGGAGACCCTGTCTCAAAAAGACCGGAAAAAAATAAATAAGGTTGGGCATAGTGCTGGCTACTTGGGAGGCTGATGCAAGAAAAAGTTCAGGGGCTGGAGAGATGGCTCAGCAGTTAAGAGCAATGACTGCTCTTGCAGAGGACCCAGGTTCGATTCCCAGCACCCACATGGCGCCTACATACTGTCCTTAACTCCAGTTCCATGAGAATCCAAAGCCCTCTTCTGACCTCTGTGGCATTGCAGGACACGGGTGCACTCACATACATGCAGGCAATACACTCATACACATAAAATAAAAATAAAGAAGAAAAGAAAAAG